GCAGAGCTGGAAGGGGCACTCTGGAGAGGAGAGTATGCACTTCAGGCACGGGGTGGGTGGGGTGGGTGGGGGGGAGCCTGCTGAATGAGCCTCCCTTCCCAGGTGACTTGCTCAGGTAATAAACGCAGCAAGAGGTCAGACTCGGGAATGGTCAGATCGCCCTTGCCATTTCTTTAGGTGCCGCTCGGCGGCCGCACAGAGGGTCTCTCATCAGACCAGCATGGCCCGTTTCCCTCCAGCGCTGGCTCCGATGCCCATCCTTCACCTCTGTCCGGAGGCAGGAGCTGGTGTGTGTTTAGGGTCCCTGGAAAACATGAGTCTCAAAACCCTGGACTGCAGCCAGGAGGGGCGCGCAGGAGCGGAGATGCAGAGGTTGGTGGTGGTGGTGGTCGCGGTCTGGGGTGGGGGGAGGGCGGCGGGGATGCTCCCTCGCCTGGGGGGAGGGTCTTGGGTGCAGAAGGGGCCATGGCATTTGGGGCGACAGCTCTTATGTGTAACATAGTAACATAGTAACAGCCCCTCATGGGACAACACAGATGTCCTCACATACTTCTAAATGTGGCCTGGGGATGGGGGTGCGGGCAGAGGACCAGCGAGCTGGGACCTCTGCTCGTTGAATGACACTGGGCAGAATTGCCAGGAATTGTGATCTTTCCCCCTGGTCTCCATCTGCGTCTGTCTCCCTTTTTGCCCGTGGGGTTAAGTGTTATAACTCCATCCAACTCTGGGGAAGCCTGCTGTCACCTCCGCATGTAATAAAAAGGAACGTCTGCTTTACTTCCCAAGGACGAATTTGTACTTCTTGTTTGTGCCATTTTTTATAATATTTTTATTTTAAAGTTTGTTCTTCCTTAAGTAGGAACTGTTCCGAATGTTGAAGGGGGTACCACCAGCTTACTTCACACAATTCCACACATACTCTGTGTAGGTCTTTGGTCCACGTTGTCATTCGTTATGCTGAGAATTATTTCTACACCAGCATTTGGAATGGGGAATCAGTGCCCCCAAGCAAAATAATTTCGACCTGTCGAGTTCGAAGCAAATAACCTGAACTGTGGTAGTTCTCAAACGTGAGCGTGCGTGCTGGGGGGCTTGTCAGAACACAGATTTGCTGTGCTCACCCCACGGCTTCGGATTCCGCAGGTCTGAGGTGGCGCCCATGCATCTGCATTCCTAGCAAGCTTCCAAGGGATGCTGCTGGTCTGGGGACCACATCATCCTCCCAGCCACCGCACTACCCTGATGATAAAGTCTCTTCCCTGTCAATAATTTAACCACTGGGTACTTAACATGTGTGTTCATTTCAACACATGGTTCATTCATTCACTGGACAACTCATTGTGGAACAGCTACTGGGTGCCAAGGTCTAGGCACTGGGGCCTCGGCCATGGAGAAACCAAAGCCCCCTGACATCAAGGAGGAAGCTAACACCCTGGGGGGGGGCGGTGGTGGAGAGGATGGCAAGTCAGAGAACCACTTAGAAACGTAACAAAGTGACAAGCAGTGATAAGCACTGGGAAGAAAAATAAAACAGAGAAAGAAGGTGGAACGTGATGGGAGGTGCTACTTTAGAGAGAATGGCCAGCAAAGCACTTTGTAAAGGGGTGACATTTGCAAAGACTCCGAATGAAAAACATGTGAGCCATGTGGACATCTAGGGGAAGAACATTCCAGGCAGAGGGAACAGCAAGTAGGGAGGTCTCGGGGGGGCGGTGCGGGGAGAGGGACAGGTTTGGTGTGTTGGGGAACCAGTCGGGACATCTGCAGGGACAGAAGAGAGGAGCAAGGAGGGAAGTGGGAGAAAAGAGGGCAGAAATGTAGGCAGGGCTGGCACACGGAGGGGCTGCGAGGGCACAGAAGGGACTTGTGTTTCTGGCTGAAGGAGAAAGGGAGACAGTGGAGAGCGTGACACAATCTGATTTTTGTTTTAAAAGGAGTTCTCTGGCTGCAGTAAGGGGGGGATAGAATGTAAAAGATCAAGGGCAGAGGCAAGGAGCCCAGATAGGAGGCTGCTACTTCACCCAGGCAAGAAATGATGGTGACTAGGCTAGGACAGGAGGTGGCCAGGCCATGGAGGTGGTGGCGAGTGGACAGATTTGGGGAGGGTTTAGGTGGACAGAGCCAGTGGGGTTTGCTGACAACTCGGACGTGTGGAAGGAGAGCCAGATTGGAGACTAGGGCCACTCGCAGGTTTTTAGCTTGGGCGGCCAGGTAAATATGGTGGTTATTCAGTAGTGCTTTACGGGCTGGGGCTGGTGCCTGGAAAGGCCCTAGGTAAAGAGACGGTGAAGACGTGATGTCTGCCCTCGATATCTCACATCTGGTAAAATACTCCATAAACACCGAGCGTCTGGGTCAGATGAGTCCCCAGAGCAAGGGCAGTTCCTTTTGGGCCACCTTTTGTCAGTTTATCGGATTAGAGGTATCCCTTTCTGGGCTCTGCTGTTACAGGTCATGGTCGGGGGGCTGTCCTGGAAGCTGGCTGGACAGCCCCGTAGGTTAGAGACGTCTGGTTTATAAGCTTGCTAGACTCGGAAAGAACCAAAGAAATTAGTTGAGGAGAATCCAAATCCCTCAGCATCTATAGGGCTGATGATACAGGAATGGTACGCTCTAACAGATTCGAACTCTGCCAGCCATGGGTGGCCGGAAGCGATGTTTTAGTCTTGATTATTCATCACGGGGCTAGCTGGCAGGAGAAATGATGGGGACCGTGGATTTTCTTGGCATTTTTTCTAGTAGTCGATTATTTCTAGGTAATTCAAATATCGGATGGAGCCTTCCTACCCCCCTGAGAGCTTCAAAAATACCAGTATGGACTCCCCAGCTCATTTTTCCTCCCTCGTTTCCCACTGTAACCCAATGATAAGCGGGGATCCCATACTGCCCGGTCTTTGCATGGAGTGGTATCCAGGACGCACAGATCCAGCAAACAAAGGTCGTTAAAAAGTAACTCCAGTCCCTGTTTTCCTCTTTCCAACCAAACTGAAGAGGATCTCAGTCAGATGTCAGAATTTCATCTCTCAAGACTTCTCTGCCTTGACAGCTCTGGCTCACGTTCCCGTGTGCTTCTATGCTTTATCACCTGCCAAACCTCCCTAGCCTTCTCCCGCGTCTTCCCCCTGCCCTTTGGCGTCCAGAGTCCCTGTTCGTTTATTTCTGACCATTCTTTAAATGAAGTCTTGCAAAAGACCCTAAAATAGGATGCATTAGAGGGTGTGTGCACGCAAGTGCGTGTGCGCGTGGTAGAAGCAAACTTCGTTAATGGTTTTTATACCCACCCCCTTTTCCCTAATCTGCCTACTGAAGCACTAAAGACAGTTTTCTCTGTGCACTTAACCTCTCCCCTCTCCTGCCACACTCACACAAAGCAGTCATTCATGTGGAATACTTCGCTGGCGATTTGGTGGGAAAAGGGAATGAGCAGCAAGCAAGGGTTTCCATCACAGAAATGCAAGTACCTTTAAAATCACATTAGGCATCTGGGCTCTTAACAGACCTTTCTGCCACTTGCCACTGGAGGTTTGTCCCACATTAGCCCGTCTTGACCCACTGTGGTGGCGTTTTTACTGACCTCTGATGTCTCTCTTTCCATGGATTTCCACTCCTCGTCCTTTGTGAAATAGTTCAGCCTGCCTTTGTGAAATAGTTCAGCCTGTCGGCAAAGGGGTTGAAAGCATGGATACTGGAGTCCGTCTGCCTGGGTCAGAATCTCGCTTCTGCAAAGAGCTTCATAATGACTCACTCGCCCTTAGTTCCTTTGTCTGCCAAATAGAACTAGTGCTCTTACCTTCCTCAGGATTGTTGGGAGGATCAACTTGAGTCATCGACTCTTAAAATACTTACGGAAGTACCCAGGACCGAGCAAGTACCCATGAAGCACCAGCTCTTGTGACTTTGTTTTCTGGGTCCTTGGGCTCATGTGTCACATTTTAACAGAGAGACTTGTCAAAGTCTTTTCCAAACAAAGGCCACTTCCTCCCCACGAAAGATTTCGGTGCCACCTGTTAGGGCTGTTTTGCCTTGTTGCTTCTGTAAAGGGCCTTGGGTTTGAATCCTGACTCTTCCGTTTTCTAGTTTTGTGGCCTCGGGCAGATCCTTCAATCTCTGCGGGTCTCGGTTTCCTCACCTTTAAAATGGGGATAACAGCGGTACCTATTTGCTGTGATTGTTGGGATTCAAGGAGATTGTATGGGAAGCTGCTATGATAAGAATGGTATATCGAATATCAGCTGGGTACTGGGTGCTTTTCTATGTATTAATTCTCAGCACAATGAGCGGTACCCAGGACACTGTCAAGTGTTATTGCAGTTAGCCCCAAAGAGCTGTGGAGTGGTGGTTCCTTAGAAGGACAGGTGCTCTTAGGTAACATATCAGTATGGACTCCCCAGCTGGCAGCAAGGAACAAGGTGAGCTCAGGGGAAGGCAAGATCCCTGGGGGCTGGAAAGGCTCCCCAAGGGACAGGGACGGAGTCCTTGAGTTGGGCCTCATGACCAAGGGAGGATTCGAACAGGAGAAAATGTGGAAGGACCTTCAGAGGGGTGGGGCACAGGAGCAAAGTTTGGGGGTGGGGGGAGAGGGTGGGGGTGGCCCTGAGCTTGAGTGCGATGATGGACCCCAGGCACCACCGCGCCCTTCTGATTCAGCTAGTCCCACAGCCAGAGAGCTGCGCCGAGGGTTCTCGTAGGGGAGGTGTGAGAGCCGAGAGCAGAAGAGAGAGCTGTAGAAGGTGCCCTGCCAGGGGGAGGTGTTTGGACTTCGCTGTTACAATTCATAATAATAACGAAGCAGTAAGGATGAACATCATTCGTTGTGCTCTGAGATACCAAACTTGGTGCCCTGGGACCGAGTTCTCTTCTTTCTCCCGTTTTCCAGATGAATGAGCTCAAGCCCAGAGAGCTGAGGCCACACGTCCAATCAGTGTCAGGGTGTGGACTGACACTCAGGTCCGCCTGACCCCTGGGCTAAGCCCTAGGCTGCATCATCCTGGCGTCCCTGGCAGCCTGTGTGGTGACAGAGGCGTCTTTACAGACAGTTCTCTCCCAGGATGGAAGTGTGCGTGAGTCTTGTCCCCTTCACCTCGCCCCGCCCTTTCTCTCCCCAACTCCTTCTGCACATCCTCAGGCCATCCTCAACCCCTGGTGGGTCTGCCATCCTTGGGGTGGAGTTTAATGGCCTTCGTGGGTCTCCCCCCTCCCCCCGCTTTCCTTGCCTGGATGGGACCACGCAAGGTGGAGATGGCGGAGGCGGGAGAGGGAGGAGAGAAGCTTCTCCAGAGAGGGAGGGGACTGCACCTCTCCAACCCTGGTTTGGCATTTTCTGTGTGGGGAATGAGAAACCCAGTGTTGCTATGGAAACTGCCATCCCCTGCTCCCTGTGTCATTCTCTGTGGGAAGTTCCCGCGTGTAAGGGGTGGGGGAGGTGTGCAGGGGACACTCCTGCTGCACGGGGTGCTGGAATGCAAAAGGGCCAGCTCTGGGGGATGGGGGGGTGCAGGGGCGGACGGCAGCTGGGACAGGGGTCCCTGGGTGGCCCTGCTCCCAGGACAGGCTGCAGGGCTTCTGACTTGAGGGTGAGGGGCAGCCATGGAGCTCAGGTTGCTTCTCTGGAACCATCCTGAGGATGGTCACTCACACTTGAAAGGCAAAGAACAGTTTGCAAAACCCTGTCATGTGGGCTCTGGAAAGAGCTTGGGACTGACAGTCACTGAGACTCAGGCTTGAATACCCACATAGCTGGCTTCCCCATGCCTCAGTTTCTCCATAGCTACAAAATGTGCCGAGGGACATAATCTCATAGAGTGGTGACATGGGACCGTGACTCCATGCACCTGTCCCCTGCCTGGTGTCTATACCGGAGGCAGCATCTAATTAAGTGGGGTTCCCTTCTCACTTGACCCCATTCAGGTCGGCAGTATGAGCCCCACTTTACAGATGAGGAGACCAAGGCCCAATCAGGGGAAGGAAGGGGCTCCCAGTCAATGGGGAGTCGGGGCAGGGCCCTTTCCCGGTAGGTCCTCTAGCTGGTGGCTGCTACCTGGAGCTGACCTTAATTGCCGGGTGTGTGACCTGTCGGACTCCCTCTCCCCGAGCCACCCACTAAGCCCCAGTGCTTGCCGCTGTCATCAAGGGACCAGGCCTGTGGCAGAAACAACTCTCTTTTGGCTTTTAATATTAAAGTAGAATAAAGGGCTTTGCTTTCTCTGTGGAAACAAAAGATGGGGGTGGGGAGTAAAATAACCCTCCAAGCTCCAACATCAACACCCCCCCCTCCACACAAGCACCCCTTTCAGCTCCCAGAATGGAAAGGAATCTTCCAGGTGACTTGTTAGCTCTTTCTGGGGCAGAAGAAGGTGGAAAACTAATTTTAACTTCTCAGGGATTTTTTTTTTTTTAGCCTTTATGTTTTTCAGACCAGGGGTAAGACATCAGGTGCCCCCTGAGTCCACAGAGTCAGGGGAAGAATTAAAGAAAGTGGTAATTTTGCAGGTCCTGCAAATCGCAGTAGGTAGGGATGCCAAGAAGTTCAGGGTCTTGCGGTGCTCACCTTCTCCCCTCCCCAGAAAAGCTCCTGCTCATCCCTCCCCCAAATTCAAAGACAGTATCACCCAGGGAATTAGGAGACTGAAGCCAGATGCATGAATTTTGTGAAATCCAGATTTGCTGTGTGGCCTTGGGCAAGTCACTTCCCCTCTCTGGGCCTCAGTTGCCTCATCTGTTGCAAGGGGACAGTAATTGTTGTCTTGCCCACCTCCCAGGGTAGCCCTGCTAGGGCTGATTTCTTGGCCCCAGCATTAAGAGGGAAATAGCAAAACTGGAGAAGTTCCCACAATGATTTGAATGGGGCAGGGACCCCCAGTCTACCCGTTGGAGAAGGAGGACCAAGAGATCAGGCTCTATTTTGTGCCCAGCCCAGTGCTTGACACTTGGCATGTCTCTAATGCATTTTTTTATAAAAGATTTTATTTATTTATTTGACAGAGAGAGACACAGCGAGAGAGGGAACACAAGCAGGGGGAGCGGGAGAAGGAGAAGCAGACCCCCCGCCGAGCAGGGAGCCCGATGCGGGGCTCGATCCCAAGACGCTGGGATCATGACCAGAGCCGAAGGCAGACGCTTAACGACTGAGCCACTCAGGCGCCCCTCTAATGCATATTTTTGAATGACAATCAATGAGATTCCCCACGGGGGATGGTGACAAAGGTTAGCCTGGAGGAGAGTTTCGTGGGAAATCGGCTAATTGATCTCCAAGCAGAGGAAAACTGTCATGTAGCATGGGGAAGAGATGGTTAGAGACAGATCCTGGGGACAAATGAGTAGATGCTATAAGGGGACAGATTTCAATTCCATACAAGGGCCGTGCGCTAACAGTGTAACAGTGGGAGCAATGAGCTCCATTAACTCCCAAGCTTTTATTTATTTTTTTTTTAGTACATTCCCCACCCAACATGGGGCTTGAACTCACAACCTTGAGATCAAGAGTCCCATTCTCTACAGACTGAGACGCCCCTTGGAAATGAGTTCCCATTAAGCTTTTGCAATGTGTCAGGGAACTGAATAGAAATTGCTAGGGCTTTACTGAGTCTCAGCCGGAAGGCTGTGAATGTTCTCCTGAAGTCCTGTGAGCGCTGATACTGGGGCCCCTGCAGCAGGCACCGCCCCTCCCTGCAGCAGGCAGGGCCCGCCACTAGGTGAGCTGGACACATCTCCCACCACCGCCACCACCCAGCTAAAGGTGGAAGAGGCTGCTCCCTCTGGGCTGGCCTGTCTCCCACACCCCCCTACCCTGATCACCCCAAGAGACGGGCGTGTGTACCCAGAACGAAGCCTGGAGAGTGACCAAGGCCAGTGCTGTCCCGGCTGCAGGTGTCTGCTCCTGCTGAATAAATCATTATCGGGCCCATCAAGCATCTTCCCCCAGAGGAGTGCTCTCTGCCTCCAGATGCTATCTTGCCCCAGGAAGCCAGGTGGCACTTATGTGTCCCTTCTTCAACAGATGGCGAGCAGGGGGCAAGCCTTCCACCTGGTCAGGCTTACGTTTCCCAAGCTGGAACCAGGCCGCCCAGCGATCCGTGCGAAGCCCAGCTAACTGCCGCTCAGCCCCACCACTGAGCCCCGCTCAGAAGCCCCCGGGGCTCCCCAGCAGCTGCTGAAGGGGCCCCCCACATCCTCACCAAGTCCTGCGCCTGCGGCTCCCCCAAACGAACCTCTGCCAGAGTCACCCAAGCATTCTTACACGCTCTGCCTAGGTCCACCTCCATGGCTTTGCTCACACCATCCCCTCCTGCAGCCGTCTCCCTTCCCATCTATCTCTAAGGCGCACCCTGGTTCTGGGCCATTCCGAGGGCCGCACCGGCAGGGCTGGGTTTTGTCAGCTGAACCCCATGTGCTGACTGTAAGCCTCTCCAGGGCAGTGCCCACGTCCCCAGTGTTTCTCAATTAGCACGTTCCGTGCTAATTGCCCGCTCACCTGCCTTGGCCTCCCCTGGACCCAATGTTCCAGAAGGGCAGGGACGTGTCCCTGTTGCCCACCAGTGCCTATTTCTATCTCCTTTGTATTCCCAGGGAATAGAACAGTCTACCCTTGCTCCCGAAAGAAAGAAAGAAAGAAAAAAAGAAAAAGAAAGAAAGAAAGAAAGAAAGAAAAGAAATGTTATTTGTCTTGAAAGCTGGATCTCTCCAGACGCCTCCAATTCATTGAATCTCTATTTTAGAAACCCTCGAGCTGGCGTATCTTCCTATTGTTATCTTATTCCACCTTTATATCAGGATCCTTGTCTAAAATGCCTTGGGAGCAGTTTTAACTCGATTCCAGAAAAGATGGTTTACAGGTGATACAGACCAGTAACAACTCTTAGATTACGTACTGTTGCTGTGGTTGTTTACGCCGACAGCCGTCAGGCTGACGTGGCGGGGCACTGCTCCAGTTATCCCCTTTATAAGATGACCTTTGCAGGCAGAGAAATTCAGTTCAAATTTGTAACCGACTCTGGCTATCACATGTCTCTGAATATTCTTCGGCCAAAAGTAACAAAATCTGAGGGGATCAGATAAGAAAGATGAAGGATTAATTACTCATCTTGGTTGAGTGCTGCTGGTGGGCTGGGCACGGTTCATTCTCTGGAGAGCGAGGGAAGGAGGAAGGGGTGGGGACAGACGGACACACGCGTGTCACGTTTCCGCCTTCTCCAGACCTTCAGCATTCCTCGTCTCATCCAGTCCCCCAACCTCAGGGTGCAAGAGGGCAGACAGGTCACCCGGTGCGGTCTTGAATCTTGGCATTCTCCCCGAAGATGCCCATCCCATCTGCACAGGCCCAGGGCCGGCGACAGGCAGCAGCTCGCTCCAGCCGCGATGGCACCTTGGTTAGAAGGTGTGGCCGTGGGGGAAAGCAAGCCTGTGGGCTTTGGAGCCCAATCTTGGAGTTCTGGCTCTAGGCAGCTCTGTGACTCTGAGTTCGGTACTTGCTGCCGTCGGGACCTCTGCCCCCGGGGGGCTGGGAAGTGGGGGCATGGTGGTGTGTTTCTCAGGGGGATGATAGAGCATCACAGCGGTTATAGGAGTGCAGGCTTCCCAGTAGGCAGAGTGTGACTCAAGCGGGACTGCCATTTTCAACATGGGTGACCTTGGGCCCGTCGCAGGAGCCTCCGCTTTCTGGTAAAAGGGGTAATAACAGCACCTCTCACAGGGTCATCGTGAAGATTCAATGAAACCCAGTAGCTTGGGACCGAGGGAAAGTAGTGATGCCGGCCATCAGTCACACAGCACTTGACTGAACGCTTACTGTTGGCCAGGCTCTGTTCTAGGATAGATGTCCGTCTGTATCCCTAGTTCCCAGAGACACAGAGCTGGGAAGTAACTCTCCCAGCATCACGCCAATGACTCGTGGCAGGGTCAGGATCCGAGGGCAGGTCGTGGCTCCAGACACCGGGTCCTCACCCCAACCTTTACCGCCTCCCAGCAGGGTCAGCGCGGCTGTGTCCCAGTAATCCCAGGCAGAACCCTGCGGACCCCTCTCGTGTTGTGTGTGTGTGCTGTGCCCACACCTGTGTGCGG